TGTCTCGGCTGCTCGCTCGTCCGGATAAGTAGAGGTCACACGGGCACAGAACAATGACAAAGGTCACGGCGGAATATCGATCAGCTTTGCTGTACGCAGTGGAACAAACACAGGATCGACTGCGGGTGGAAGCACTGAGCTGCACAAACATATCCGTAGAATGCTTGAAATTGAACTTAGAAAGCTCAATCGGGGCTCTTTGGAAAGGTTGTTTAATTACCTTTCGAGCGATATCACAATATTGACACAGCGAATAAAATTGCACAATTTTGCACGTGTGAGTAAATCCCAAAGCTTCGATGAAAACAGAAAAACGGCTCAATAAAGAGACGTAAACAAAATACTTCCAGTGGAATGAAATCACAAGATAGAGCTCACAAAACTGGATCGAATGAACGTAGACTCGACGATGTACGACGAGATTTCGCAGAAATATTTCGATTAAACCGGGAGCGCACAACTTGAGCGACCGCACGCCGTTCAAGTGTTCCACTATATTCAAATTACGTAAACCGGAACCAAGTGTACTCTTTTAAAACCCGAACAATTTATGTGAGGTCCTAAGCAACTCCCAGTTTAATGACCTTTGCCCACCGGATTGGAACTTGCTACGTCCCCCCTCCATGGCCCTTCAGTTCGCACTTTTCCGTATTTCCTCTATGGTTACCTAACCACCCCACACAGCAACTATTGTGTTAATTGTTGTGACCCGTTCTTCGTCCAACCTGTTATCGCAATCTTTTATCTGTACCCCACATGGAACTTTGTCGTAGTAACTGTCGTCACTTGTTCTGCGCTCTATTCATTATCGTTATCAATTATCTCCACCCGGAGAAGAAACTGCCGTGTGTTATTGTGGGCATCTGTTCATTACGCGGCACTATGATTATCCTACTATCTTCACTATTGTAAATGTTATAATAATAATAATAAAAGTTCCACGGAGCCCCGTGAAGCATGCATAGGCATGCTCAAATTTACACAATCATCTGTACAGGAGAAGCACAAAACATTTCAAAGGTCGCAATGAACTGAAATACAAATGGAACACAAAGCGGACAAGGTCTCGGAGAAAAATGTTGAGAATCAGGGAATGCTCTAAAAGAGCATGGGTATGCATGGCGTATACAGTCGCTCCCAACAACCATTGCCCGTGCCAAATTGTCTACTTCGGGTGAGACCCCAAGCCTTCAGCAAGCCCAAACCGACCGCATCTGGAATAAGAAGGTGAACTTCGGCAGTCTGGGTTGCAACCCAGCTGAGAAGGGATTGGAGTGGGAACTAGTAAGAAGATAACGGCAAACTTCAATCAATGTGGGTGCTCAGGTCACAATGCTGGTATAAGAATGTTTTAAAATTTCTTACTTTATAGGTCCAGAATGGAGCTATGTCCGTGTACTGCTAGAACATCGGTTGAGAAAGTGGACATTGCTGTGTGGTTAGCATGTCCCCCGGAGTTGAGCAAGACGTCCTAAGTGAAAGCAAGTTAAGAGGGATAAAATTAGGTAAAAAACATAAGCCACAATACTTATAAAAGTATGTACTAAAGTGGATTGCATTCCACAGATCCAGCTTCATTCTTCCTTGCAGTCTGTTATTTTTTGGCACGTGCTACCGCCCGCCTTGTGTGTTTAACCACCCCAGACACTCTCCTTGTTCCGTTGTCTATTATCTCAATTACACCGTGATTGCGGTGTAACTTTGCTATCCCATCCTTGTGATTGGTTCTCACCGCCCTTCAAATGGCACTGTCTGTTTATCCACATTCATTCCTTCTCCGATTTCAAGAGTGTTTTCCCCGCATGTTTGCCCTTGTTGTACCGAACCAAATGTTTTGTCCAGACCAGTTTGCCCCCAATTTGAGGTATGCCGTTGTATTTCTATTAATTCATAAGTGATTATACAGCACACATGGATTTCTCAGTCTTGTGTTCTGGCGCGGATTCGGATTTCGGTATATGCGAGTCACCCAATCATCCGGTACAGAAACACTTGCGACAGTCGTCCATCACGGACATCACAGAAGGCTAGTAAACTCAGAATCATAATAACAGAATATTACAAATAGAATGAATTGTGAACAACAAAAGCTGTTCTTGGTCCCAACTAAGTTTCAAGATTGCGGTCTGCATTACCAAGCAGGAAAGCAGAGGTGCATCATCATCATCGTACAGCGAAATACAGTGAAGCGAAATTCACTGATTGCTGCCAAACTCGTCATGCATACAAGGTTAGTGGTAAAATTTGAGGTAGACAGGGATTGGATCTATTTTGAGGGAGGGAGAAGGTGAGCCACTATGGTCAACAGAGAGTCCACAATCAAACTCTGCACACCTGACCTGATAAGAAACGACAAAAACGCCACCGCTGCCAGTTCGCTGCCATATCCTTCAATGTCTCCAACCACCCGGTTGTGGAGTCTTTCGGACCCCAACCTGGAAGGCGATAGACATCTACTCTA